CTGAATTCTCCCCATGGTTCACCAACATGATGTGGTGAACTAGGGAAGTTAAGCAATTTTACAATTAACATCTTATTGAAAAACAAAGTATTGATATGAAAACAGTATCTGCTGCAGCTGCAGCTTCACATGGATGGAACATGCCATGTAGGAGTTCAGTAATGCTTCCAGCATTTTACCTTTTGTGCTTCAGAGAAAAAGGAATTTTAGATTGAAGCAAGGAATCTCTGTATATCTAGAAACCTATAAGACCCAATTTCTCTTCTAGTCATCACTTCCAATCAGACAGATGGATAAATTGCTATAGAAAAAAACACAAAAGAACCTCACCTAAAACAATGACTGCATCATTTTTATTTATTTCTTGCATTCTCTGTTCACCCAGCAAGAAATCTAATTCCAGTTAGATCATTCTCTTGTGATACTTTTTTCTTTCATTTAATATATTTTTAAATGCTTAGAAGCATTATGACAGAAAAGCATGTATTTTTTGCCCTGGTTTACACCCATCATCCTTACCATTACAACAAGACAAAAGCATTAAAGTAAAATTAATCATGTCAAAAGATTTTAGCAAAAAACAAGGGAGACCATGCATAAAGCATCGCTTTGTCTAGTGTGAAGTCACGCTCTGATTAAAAACATATAATGAAAGTGAAAGTAATACATCATTGCCTTAGCAGTAGGGTTTTTGGGAAAGCTATGCAATTCTGAACACAAAAAATCTTTATAGGCTCTGGATTTTGCAATTATTATAGAATAACTCTAACAAACACAACATTGTTTCACTTCCTTAAAGTTTAATTAATCTTAAACGTTGCAGTTAAAACAAACAACCAAGGGAGTTCTAGAATTAAGCACAATTAGACTCCTGGCAGGACCATAACTGGTAATTAAAACCCAAGCAGCAGTGGCTGGTTCTGAGCAGTGAGGTATGAGGTAGTGACACAGAGACCCCCCCCTCCCCCAAAGCCCCACACCCAGTAGGTAGTTATAAAGACTACAAAATATCACAGAATAATGAAAACCCATTAACAGAGCAGAACTTTTGCTGTTACTGAGGTCTGTCACACCCCCTTCAGCAGTTCCATTTGTGTCACTGGGCAATGGCAGCCTGTTGCTGCTACGTGACCTATGTAGTACCCAGCTAAACAGTGAACAGTGTTTGGGCAGATGTAGGCTGGCCTGAAAAGAAACCATGCAGTGAAGGTATTTGCTGTACTTTATCATAAAGTCTATAAAAGCCTCAACTTTGTTCAGGCACAACTGTGCAATAAGTGTTTCAAATTAAACACCAACATGCATGTTATGAAGTGTAATATCATTTATAATCTCAGATTAGGATTGTGCCCATATCAAGCAAAATTAGGTAGTAAAAAATGTTTGTAGAATGCCACTAACTTACTCCTTTCTCTTCCTCTTTATTCTGCCTCTATGTTGTCAACATATAAACAATAACTCTCTGAGAAATACCAGATAGGAAAAATACACAGTAATACTAGACTGTGAAAAATCTACCGATCCCCTGAGCCATAGCATTCTTGCCTATAGATGATGACATTAAAAAATTGGAAATGGGTGCACGCTTCCCCTCCTCTCCCGGGTCTATGAACAAGGCAAGTTGTTTTCCTGATACCTTTCGAATTACTCCCATTAGTACTGATGCATTTGGTGCTTTGGCTATCCAGGCAGAGAGAGGTGGGCAGGATCCCCTGCCAATAGATCTAGTCTTGTCTAGGGAACAAAATGAGATTGCTCCTGTGCTGAGCTGTCATACTCGATAGCTTGTGCTGTTCCACCTGCACCCATCCTCGCAGCTCCGGCTGCAGTGCCTTGGAGCCAGTAGTTCCTGACGGCTGATCCTCTCCTGCTCCTTATGCATCACACAAAGCAGGACACAGAGCCCTAAGCAGCTGAGTGCTGAGAGTGAGCCACTCTCCCTGCTGAGAAGGCAAAAGGAAACAGGCCAGCAGCTCCCTCTCAAATGGGTCTGCAAGCCCTGAGAGTAACTGCTGGGGCTCCTCGCAGTGGAAATTCAGGCTCCTCACAACCACCTCCTCCTCAACGGCCCTGCCACTGCACCCAGGATTGAGTGTTTGCTCCTTTCCCAACATCCCTACCCCCAAATGCCACTGGCACAGAGAGCAAAAAATGAGGAATGCAAATGGGTTTGGAGGAAGGGAGGGGGACTTTCTGTGCACACTTACTTTGGGTCAGTAAGCCTCTCAGTGCAAAATGTGGCATTTTGTTGGTGTGTGGGAGACCCTATTGGCACAGCAGGTTAAAGAAAAAACTATGTAACAGGAGAAAATCAAATACACCTAAGGCAATAATAAAATAGAACATCTTGAAATACCAGACTACAGGAACTGAAATTCTTCCCATCACAGAACCTCATGAGCAGGACATAGCTTTTGCTCTGTCCCTATTCACTGAGGAGCAAACCCATCATTTGCACTGACAAGTTGAGAATGAACTGCAACATTGGGGCTGAAAGTACTATCTAAATAAGAAGAAAAAAAAAACAAACAGAAAAAAAATCTTCTGCCTTTGCTGCTGGTTGTATATTTCTGATAAGACAACAGTGGATTGAGAGAGAGGTAAAAAGGTAAAGAAAGAAAACTCCTTCCTAAATTGCAAAAAAAATACATTATAAATAAAGACAGAACTATGTCCTTAAATTTACACCCCCCATAAATGTCACAGTATGTTGATAGTACACCACGGCTGCACTGAGCTACCATTATGTTTTAAGCTTGTGCAGTTTGTTGTGTTCCCTAAGACTTCTCAGTCACAGCTCTTCAAGTTCCTACACTCCTATGCTATAGTTCTTCAATGTTTCACAGAAAGGACAGAAGATCTACTTGGACTTATCTCCCATTCTCTCATAAGTCTGAAAAAGGTGATACTTGAAACTCTTATTTCAACTCTTTTTTTTTTTTTAAAGACATTTTGTAACAACTACAATCTTAGTAAAATATTTTCTCAGAAAGTATGCTTGTTAACATTTTGTCTTTTTCAGTATGAAAAGACAGATGTTCTCCTCTGTATTCTTCAAACTTTAGCCCAGGCCAAGAGGACATCCTTTTCTGTCAGGATTTGCAAGAACAGGGTTACTCATGTCAAGAAGGGCGCTGTATTTGGCAGGTGTTGCCTCAGCCAGCACTGGGACAGATCCTGGGACCTCCAGGGCTTCCAGTGCTGAGCAGTAAATGCTTGAGCCCAAACTGCCAGGACTGTAACAAATGCCTTGGTTTTAACCACAGCGCAGAATGTTACGTGCACTGCCATATTGGAAAGAGAACTTTTCTTCCCTATTTCTAAAGGTAACACAGAAAAAACTAAATTCTCTACATAAAATTACCCTGAAACATCTCTCAACACCACCATAGACAGTTGGTCCAACACTAGAGATGCTGGACATTTAACCAGAGCATTAAGGTATCCTGCCTCTCGGTAGTTTCCCACGTTCTTGGAGACTGCAACTCAACGTAAATAACCAAGAGCTGAGTAAATTCCATTCTTACAAAATCTGACAATCTACAGCTAGTTAAGACTCAAGAAAAAGGCTTTTTACTTTAATTCAGTAGAGAGTTCAGATCTTGAAGCAAGAGATCCATTCCTCCTGCCTCTCCTGTTGAGCCACTGGATTAGACACAGCAAATGAAAAAAACACCTGCCTTAGGCAGTATCATTGATTTTTCAATGACTTACCATCTTCAGGATTTTCTTAGAAGTAGTTTACAGAGGTGGGTATTGTAACTCATTATTCTGAAAAATGTGAGGCATAATATATTCCCTAGCACAGATGCTATAAACTTTTATAATGTACACTTCATATAACCTTTTTTAATTGTCATTCTTTTACAACACTCTCAACTATTAGTCCAGGTCATCTATATGTAAAAAGTCTTTATGTGGCACCACTTTGTAAAAGGCTCCTTAATCTATCATGGGAGAAAATCAGTCTACAAGGGCATTATTTCAAGTCCTGCATCATAGTAATTAAAAAAAAAAATTATCCTAATTTTGCATGTAATATTAATGTGGATGTATGCCATTATAGGGCTTTGGATAAGGGAGGAGAAAAACATTCTGTAAAATGTATTTTACTGGGGGGAAAAAAAAAGCAGGTCTAATAGGAAATCCAGGTTTTACCAGTTGTCCAGTTTTAGAAGTATGGTTTTGATTTATGGATCAAAATTGCTCATTTATTATTTTATCTATACTGCTTTGGGCAATTTTGACAGTTAAAATTTAGTTTTATTGACCAATGCAGCCAGTTTAGCCACAAGGGGACTAATGCACACACAGCCTGCTGCACTCAAGAAGCTATGATTTGATTCCATGACCAAGTCAGACTGGGAATCACAACCAACATAACAATAAGTTCCGAATCTCGATGCTCGAGGCAAAATACTTACTCTAAAACCAATCCACTATTAAAAGAAGGTGGGAAAGAATTTTGTGATAGCAGCCTCCATGCACTGTTTATTGTAGCTGATATATTCCACCAATGCTTCTGTCAGCAATGGACGCAGGGTAGTACAGAGGAAACCTTTCTTTAATGATTGTGGACAACAGATAAAGCTGGAAGAAGGAAATGAAAATGCAAAACAGAATCAAAGGTGTGCTCTAGTACTACGGCTTACCAGGGATCTGACTCTTGAGAAAAATGTCTTGAAAAAAATGCCTTTTTTTTTTTCCTAAATCAGATTTTATTCATATATACATAAATATGCATGGGTTCATGTTGCAGCTTGAAAGACTTACAAGTTTACTTAAAAAAAACTTACTGGAATGATTTTAAGCCAATGTTAATTTAGGCCTATCCTATTATAAAATTAGCATCTTCTGCAATCTCAATTTATTGCTCCATTGTGAAGCCCCTTGTGATACATAAACAAATCTCTGAAGAGAAACAAATCAATAAAGTGTCTAATTTGATTAACCATGTTTTTAAATTCATCAAGACAACTGTACAAAAATAAACCACTTACTTGTCAGTATTTTCCATGTCTTCTTTTCATCATCATAATACTGAACCAAATTGCTGGGTAGCCGGTCAGGTCCGGGAGGCAATCCTCCAACCAATAACAGCATTTTCTTATTGGAACGAATTCTTCACCCAAAACAAGAGGAAAGATGAACAACCACATTACTGAGGAGTATTTTTAGTGGCAACAAAATCATAACCATCAAAAGAATGTTCACTGCTTGCAGTTTTCTATTTCATTTTTTTGTGTTTCTTTTCCCAATCATGTCTCAACAATTTCTTGAACCAAGCAGAAAAATGATCAGAAAAGCTGCGTATCTCTCTACTCATGGAATAATAAGCTTCCTTTATGCAATTTGTTAGAGGTTCATTCTAGAACGACCTTTTTCTTATATTATCCCTTTAAATCATCACTCTTTACAGCTGAATACACATGAAATGCTCTGGAGTTGTACTAAGGTTAAGCATTAAAGTTGCATGTCAAAAATCGTATTAGTCAAAATCATTATTATAAGCCATTCTACACTCAAAGAACCTTGAAAAAATTAAGGTTATGCAGAGAGTTTGTGAGCCAACTCTTTAATCACACACTGAACTTCAGATATATAGTTTAGCACAATTAGCAGCACTGGGCTAATGGTTATGGGTTAAATGCTACTTACAAGCACTTTTGTTTGTTTAATTTAGTCCAGACTCTTGCTTTCATTCTCCCCCCCCGGCTACCCCCCTCGTCTTTGCTCTCCCCCTGTGCACCACTGGCTATAGCAACACCAATTGGTAAAAATGAGACTGTGATGTTGTTGTGAGCCTCCCCAGAGTGGAGCCCTGCCAATGCTTGCCACTGATCCAGCGGCATGAACCTGCTCAACTGTGCAAAGTCACTCTAATTCCCTCCCTCTGTTTTTCTACCTTCTCCCCCAGGGGGCAACCACTGAAAGGAGTGACTACCCACCCATCAAGAGCTGGCAATTCGCTGCTATTAACCGTGACCGTGATTCCCAATCTGCCTGGCAGTTCTTAAGAACAGGACTGCAATGTGTCATCTGCAGTAAAAGTGGTTATCTGCACCCTGGCCTCCAATGCCCCACCTGATGAACGTACGATTTCTCTGCAGCATGGAGGGATTTAGCACAATTGTAAGTGAAAACTGGAGGGGAGGCACAGACCCCCAGATGAGCCCTGATGCTTTAATAGACACTTTGCATATAATTGAACTTTCACCAGTTATACTCAGCTTGGGTGAGATAGCACTGAAATAAAGGTCTAGGCTCAAAACGTTCCTGTAAGGTAGGAAGGTGATGTAGCCTGGAAAACAGCCATCCATGTGAATGACTGTGCAGTGGGACCATGCATTTGATGGAAAGCACCCTTGTCAAACACCATTTTTCCAGGCATGACAACACCTGTGTTGCACTCCGTGTGTCAGTCTGCAGCAAACACCCCGGCCAATAAAGGCACAGAACACCAGGAACCTAAGCCTACCACCAGAGATGCTTGTGGTGGGGTCAAAGCACCACCCAGGAGCTCCAAGCTCAGCAGTGAACTCCAGCAGTGGGAGCTTTGCAACTGAGGCACACTCATGGCTTCACGCCAGCTGCTATCTAGAATGTGTGCTGGTGACCCAGTGATCCACATTTGTAGCCGAACTGCATCTTCTTTTGAGAAGAATGGGCAAAACCAAACTAGATGGTGCTGTAGACATGCACCAACCACAGGGAACATCCCTCAGGAAGGGAACACACAGCTGAGGGCTTGATCCACGCAATGCTCCAGAATAAAATCTGTCAAATGGCTGTCCCTGAGACAACTATAGACTACAGATACATCTATGACAAGGATGGCCAGGGAACTATTTGGCATATGGCCTCATCTGTTTTTTAAACAGATTTAGGGCTCAGAGAAGGTCATGAATTAACAGTGGATGAAACAAAACCCTCAGTGCAGGAGCAGGAGTTAAACCATGGGGGCAGTGACACTGTCCCACACTGTCCTACCCCTTGATTCTCTCCCGACTTGGGGAGAGCCCCTGCAGTCCCTCAGTCTTTCTGACAAGCCAGCCTTGAATGCCTGCACTGCACCTGCTATGTGCTGTCAATGAGCACTGTGACCTGCCCAGCAGACTGTGGCTGTGTAGGATACCAGGAACCATCTCATGATCACTGTCAGCACAGATTCCATAGTGCTCCAGGGAAAGCTTACTAAAGCACTTCCAGCATCTTATAACATTCAGTTTCCCCAGTAAAGTTTTTAATGAGAGAACATTTGATGTGTTCTGTGCAACATGGGAGTATGATAAACTGGTTTTGGTATGAGTTAGGGATGACTGCACACGTAACAAGTGGCAGAGCAAACCAGAGCCATAAGTCAGTTATGCATGACCATCCCTAACAATAGAGAATAAATTGTTTATTCCAGCCCTCCTGTGTTGTATGTTATATCACAATCGACTCCCTGTGCATTGTAAAATTCAGAATGCCCTTGCAAGGTTTACTTGATAAAGGAGTTTATTTTGATTTTCATCTTTCATCTGTAAAACTCCCTTCTAACTCCAAAGCACTGTGAAAATCCAATGAATGGCCAAAGCTCAATAGTTAAGGTGAAGAATGAAATGTCAGATATAACTCTGAGTTTCCAGACTTTGGCAGTTGCAACTATCCTTAACATTACTTTTTCAGCCAAACAGCCTGAGAATCTGCTGTTTCCTGAGAAGGAGCAGTGCTGCTATATTGGTATGCTTAAAAAATACTAATTTCTAAAATATGTTTAAAATGGGAAGTAGCAAGAACAGAAACTTTTAGTAAAAGTCCAGTAAGAAGTGAATAGTCAGCAAAGTCTCTACCAAAAGCACAGGGAAATTTCACATGGCAAAGAAGAGATGGGTACTTATACCCAAAATATCTAATTTATCTGCATTGAGATCTCTTCCAATGAACTAAGTAAAGATAATACAGTGGCTAAAGACATGCAGGTTTTAAACTGATATGTCTCCTTGGAGCCAGATCCGGTTTTAAGTTTTAATGTGAAATGCTGCAATTTAGGTTTTGAAAAATATTTTCTTTATTATGTTATATTTATGCTTCATATTGCACTAAGCAGTACTGTTAGAATCTTATAATACATTCTAAAATATGAAAAACATGTAAGTGGCCATTTCTTATATGCAAAGACTTTTCCAAATATTAATAAAAATGTTATTCAGTGAAACACTGTGATGAAGACAGGATTCAAAAATATGCGTAATACACTGAGCAAGATAAAGCTTCCCCCTCTCATGTGTTATTACATGTTTGCTATTTGGATAAGTCAAGATTACAATGTGAAATGTTCTTCATTATATATGACACACTCTTGTTTTACAGTCTAATATTCTATTCAGTTAATGCTGTGGTTCACAGTGTCCCCAGCAAGGATGTTATGATCACCTTGTGTTCCATTAACAGTAGTGGGTCTTGGTCAGGGAAGGCTAAGCTGTGGACAAGCAGGCTGTCATGGCAAAAAAGTTGAGATAAATTTATCCACATGTTATTTTGAAAGCATTACTTAGATTTAGACTCCAAAACTATAGTTCTCACTGATGAACATGCATTTGTTGTTATTATTCTGCACACACTTTGCAGTTTCTGTTCGGCTAAGATTTTAAAACACTTAATTCACCTTAATTAAGTTCCTGGGTACCTCATGTGGTGTGAAATTTATTTTGTCTACTTACAAGACTGGAAACCAAAGTATATTTCAAAGTCAACATTTTCAAACTTGTGTAGTTTCCCTCGGGCACACAAACCCAGGAATTTGAGCACTCACAGAAGTGGCTTCATTTTCAGAGATAGCCATCAACACAACTAAATCCTACTCACTTCAAAGGTAGCAGCAGATGCCCATCAGCTCTAAAACTCAGATCACCAGTCTATGGTCTAAACTAACCATGAGTATTCATGGCAAGAGGCTGAGCCCAAGAGAGTTTACAGATTCACAAGAAATTGGTAGAAAAGGCTGTTGGAGACCTCAACACTCCTGAAACCACTCCTACTCTTTTGCAACCTTGATGGACTCATGTTAATGGAAAACGCATGAATGGGAAATACTCTTCTTGTACATTGTTCTTCTTTATTAACATATCCATCAATCTTGCACTGGTGGGTTTTCCTTATCTGGGCAATTTGTAGAAGTTCATTCTACAAAAGCTGGCAAGAAAACAAGCCTCAACAACAGGTTTGCTCCAGACTCTTCCAGTTTTTAAACAATGCTCTGCCCTCTGTATTAGGGAATGCAAATAAATGGCAAGAATACAACCATGAAGTGGCAATCCAGTGGTTCTTAATGCATCCAGTGTAGTGTTACACATCAGAAAGAGAAAGGCATCCTAAGACATACAAGTGATCATGGTATCGGTGAAAAAAAAGAAAAAAGAAAAAGAGTATTCAACTATACTTTTCTCTTAACTCAGGGCTATAGTAAACCCAGAAGTCTGGTTCATTAATTATCTTTTCATATAGGCTATCACCATGGCTTTGAGTAGGGGTAGCTCTTCAGAGCAGGGACGTGACCTTAAACACAGCAGAGCCAAATGGAACTCCAGGTGTTTGCCCACTGAACCCAAGCACAAACAAAATCAGCCATAAGAGCAGCACAGCCTCAGTAAGGGGAGGTGAATGCATGGTGAGTTTTATCTACATCCTCATATCTCATTACATCAAAGGATTTGAGAAACCTGAGTCTGACAGTGATACTGTCAAATCAAGCAGCAAGAATCTCAGAAAAGGGGGCTGTGTTAACCTGCAGCAGAAACAAATTATTTCAGAGAGGTTTAGATACTAACCTCCAGGTAATAGAAAAAGAGATACATACTATCCCAATCAACATTTCAGTTGCGGATCTTTTGTTTGTAAACACCAAAAACTTAATTTCACCTTCAGAAACCAGGATGGTCTTTAGCAACCCTTTTCTTCTCAAAAGGAATCTGAAGGGATGCTGTGTTCAACAAAAAATGTAGTTGACAATCCAGTTTCAGTGTGCAAAACTGAACAAATGTTGCAAGCATCCATTTGCCCGTGACTGAAAAAAATGTTTTGCTATCGAGAACATGGGATGTGATCTTCAACAATTACCTTCCCAGCTCCTGGATGG